GTGATGTCCGGGGATTGTCTTATAGTTGCCGCCAAAGGTTCCATCACCAAGGCAAATATTAGAGGAGAGAGGGGACAACCCTGTCTAGTGCCGTTACTTATATCATTGGGAGCCGAAAGGAGTCCAGAAGTCAAAGAGCAGTAATAGCAGTGCCCAAGAAGCCTGAGATGCCAAATTTCTCCAAAACGGCTTTCAGATACCCCCAGTGCACCCGGTCAAATGCTTTTTCTGCATCTAAAGATAGGAGGGAAGGCATTTTAGTATATTCAGCTTGCCTTTCATGCACAAAACCAACTTGATCCGGATGAACAAGGCTGGGAATAATACGTAGGAGTCTGTAAGCAATCAATTTAGCATACATTTTAAGGTCTGTGTTGAGTAGCGAGATAGGTCTGTAGTTAGCCGGATCGTCTCTAGGTTTATCAGGCTTATGAATAGTGACAATTAGGCTTCTAACGATTCTTTGGGGCGGTGACTAGAGGAAGCCGTTTCATTAGCGAAATCGCAAATGTAAGGAGCTAAAATCTCCGTAAACGATTTATAATATTCGGCAGTAAACTCGTCAGGCGCCGAGATAGTTTAGTGATTTCCCCAATAGAGAAGGGTTGCATTAGGGAGTCTGCGAATGCGGGGGAGTGAAGGGAGGTGCACCGAGTCAAGAAAGCTGGCAATATCCTCTGCAGTGGGCCTAGGAACAGCAGGGGAATCCTTCAAGTTATACAAGTTGGAGTAAAATGCGCTAAAGCTGTTAGCTATATCTAATGGATTTGAAAGGCGGTTTCCCAGAGAGTCTGTGAGAAAAGGTATTTTGTGTGATTCATTTTTGTGTTTAAACAGTCTAGCAATGTAGGCCCCTGCCTTATTACCCTGGCTATAATGTTAGACCGACAATTTTTGGCCCCGCTCCTTCGACAAAAGTCATGTAAGCAATGGACTTCTATCAAATCGGCATGGCCACCCACTGTTAGAATTGCAGCCAATTCCTGTGAATCAGCCAAAATTGTAACAGTGCGTGGCCAGCCATACTGTCATCTTTTGTCTGATAACTGATGCCAAACAGATAAATACTTAACTGAAGCACATATAGAGTGACTGCTTCATCTTTTAAAAGATTTATGTAGCAATGCTTATAGTCTCTGATCCAGCCATACCTGCTGTGCTATATTGCTAGGAAGCCTGAGAAGTGTGAAAACACCATTTATAGCCTGCAAATCTGCAATATCCATACCAGGGGCGACTACCGGCCTACTCTTTAGAATGCTAGTGAATGTAACTGCAGTCTTCCTTGAAAATCTAAGCCAACGATGCACAAAGGAACATATGCTCTATGACTAAGTATACTCAAATCAAAAGCATCTCTCACACTACCTTACTGGGAAAGCATGTGGATAAACCCAGGCGATTTTTAAGCTTGTAAACTTAAAAAACCCAAAAAACAAAACTAACAGGCTTCTTTTTCCTGTTATTTTCAAATGGTGTTCCAGCCAGTAACACACTTCGGGGCCTAGGGTGACAACACTCACTGCACTGTATCTATGGGGGGACAGCACTTGTTACTCTAGGCTCCTGATTTGGGCTACAAATACCTCAGCTTCTCCTTCATTACAAAGACTGGCATTGCTTTGTAGTTCATCGATGTTAGCTGAGAAAGCTTTTCACTAACTAACACAAAAATATTCAAATGTAAAAAACACATGTACAAACGCGCAAAACAAGTGTAAAAAATAACCGACACTAAGGCTTTTCGGCTTATATACAATGCACTGGTGATTACACAGACTGCACTAAAATAAAAAATACATGAGCTAAACTGTGTTTTCATGTATTAGCCTGGATTTCTCTAGCTACACGGATCAGTTTTAACATTATGAGCACTGACAGGTGAAGTGAATAACATTGATTATCTCATTACAATGGCATCTGGAAGTGGGTGGGATATATTAGGCAGCAAGTGAACATTTTGTCCCTGAAGTTGATGGCCTAGAAGCAGAAAAATTGGGCAAGGGTAAGGATTTGAACGATTTTGACAAGGGCCAAGTTGTGATGGCTAGATGACTGGGTCACCGTTCTGGCTAGACGACTGAGCAACTCCAAAACTGCAACTCTTGTGGAATGTTCCCAGTCTGCAGTGGTCAGGACCTACCAAAAGTGTTCCAAGAAAGGGAAAACAGTGAACCCGCGACAAGATCATGGGCGGCCAAGACTCACTGATACTTGTGGGGAGTGAAGACTGGCCCATGTAGCCCGATCCAATAGAAGAGCTAATGTAGCTCAAATTGCTGAAAAGGTTAATGCTGGTTCTGATCGAAAGGTGTCTGAAGATAAAATGTTTCACAGTTTGATGTGTTTGGGGGTGTGGGGCCACAGACTGATCAAGGTGCCCATGGTGACCCATGTCCACCGCCAAAAGTGCCTACAATGGGCACATAAGCATCAGAACTGAACCCTGAAGCAATTGAAGAAGGTGGCCTGGTCTGATTTTTTTTTTTTTACAGCCGGATGGCTAGGTGTGTGTGTGTGTGTTGTATACCTGAGGAAGAGATGGCACCAGAATGGCAGAATGCACTATGGGAAGAAGGCGAGCCGGCAGAGACAGTTTGATACTTTGGACAATAATCTGCTGGCAAACCTTGGGTCCTGCTATTCATGTGGATGTTACTGTGACACATACCACCTACATAAACATTTTTGATGACCAAGTACACTTGTTCATGGAAACAGTATTTCCTGATGGCAGTGGCCTCATTTAACAGGATAATGTACCCTGTCACACTGCACTGGTGATTTCACAGTACTCCTGGACTGTCACATCACCGGACCAGCTAGAAGACTGCACAAAATAGATATGTACAGCCATGTGAAAAAGAAAGTGTACCCTATTTGAATTGCATGGTTTTAAGTATCAGGACATAATAAAAATCATCTGGTCCTTGGTAGGTCGTGAGAGCTTACAATCTAAAAGGGAGGGGCAAGTGATACATGAGGAGGTAGCTGGGTGGGGATGAATTGTTTGAGAAAGTGATAGTTAGGTTGAGGTGGGATAAGCTTCCCTGAAGAGATGAGTCTTAAGGGATTGCCTAAATGCAGTCAGAGTGGGAAATAGACAGACAGGTTGGGGTAGAGTTCCAAAGAATGGGGGAGACTCTAGAGAAGTCCTGGAGGCGAGCATGGGAGGAGTTGACAAGGGAGCTAGAGAGCAAGAGGTCTTGGGAGGAGCGTAGGGGACGGTTAGGGTGATACTTCGAGACAAGGTTAGAGATGTAACCTGGGGCTGAGTTGTGAATGGCGTTGTAAGTGTTTGTTAATATTTTGAATTTTATTCTTTGGGTGATTAGAAGCCAGTGTAGGGATTGACAGAGAGGGGTTGCAGATACTGAGCGGCTGATTAGGTGGATTAGTCTGGCAGCAGCATTCATGATAGACTGAAGGGGAGATAGCCTGTGTAGAGGTAGGCCAATGAGGAGGGAGTTACAATAGTCGAGACGAGATATAACAAGTGAGATAGATAGATAGATAGATAGATATTTTAACCATCCGTGTAGCCCTAGCTTCATACTACATTTACATGCTGTCGGGCAGATGGAAAATATGTTTCCGAGACCTCTCGTGAACACCCTATGAACTCTGAGCTCTGGGTTGGAGAATTTGAAGAAAGCAATGCTATCCAAATTCTTCAAGTATAAGATCAAAGGGTGTTCACGTGAAATTTCTGACTACAGCTGGCCATACACTAGTTGAATTTCGAGTAGTGTGGGGCCTGGCATTAGTGATGAGCCAGGGCTTGGTGCAAACCCAGTTGACTTGAGTTTTCCTAGGCCCATTTAGAACTGTGACCGCCAATCACCTCTCCTGGTCCAATCAATTGAGCAGAGTAGCATACCCTGTCTATAGCTTTACGTCAGAAAGGGATGTGGAATGTCCCCACCATCAACTGACTGGGCAGGGACGGGGATAAGTGGTCACAGTTTTCAGCAAGCTTTGCCTGAACTAAGTCGAACTGGGTTCACACCAAGCCCTGGCTCATCTCTAGTTGGCACCACTCCAATGGCTGAAAGTCGATTGCTGTATCAAAACGTTGTTGAAGGAGTTGGCCTAAAGATCCTCGGCTGAACGATTGCAGGCAATAAGCTAGCATCACAGTTTTGCCATTCTGACAACTGAACATCGGCTGCTGTCACAATGCTGTCACAAAGCAGTAGCTCAGCTGGGGGATAATTCCCCCATCAATGCTGTTTGGTGTGGGTGGGGGGAATCAAGCGCTTTTTCTCAATGAGCCCATAGAGTTGAACAAGAAAAAAATAAAAGTGTATTTCCAGCTTAGGAAACTAGCATTTAGTGTCTGTAGGACAGCAGGTAAACGAAGCATCAGAAATGGTTAATGCAACATCACCAGCTCCTGCCAGTTCCTTTCCTGAGCATTAACACCATCTCCAGACAAGGTAATCCAAAATACAAACACCAGTTACATGCCCTAATAATTCTCCTTTCATATGTTGCTATTATGAATGCACTGTCCAGAAAGCACTAACACTTTTCACAAAGTGACATTTATTTTTTTTACAAAAACTGTCCTTCCTGTACACATCCAAAGCACTGCAAGTCACATGTGGCCATTTGTTGGAAATATCCAACAAATATCCAATATATAGTACACCATTTCTCTGAATGGAATGTTGATTGTGCAATCCCTACCTCTGTTCACTGGCTGTCAGTAAACGTGCTGCTTTAGATACAACAGCGTCCATGTGAACAGACACTTCCTGTATAATCACACACCACTGTACTACTACACACCACCGTACAATCACACAAACACCGTATGATCAGTAGCAGGTCACAGTACAGCAGCAGCTCTTCAACTAAACACAACATTCGGCTGACCTAAAACAAATAATAACTGTAACCAGGGCTGCCTCTAAGGCTACTTACAGGCAAGCGGAACGTTCAGCTCAGTCTGTGTTGACTGGGGAATGAGTTGCGGCGGACCTGCACCCGGAAGTTGCTTCTCTTGGTGATATGCACTGTGTTGTACCGGCTGGGTAAGCTCCATTGTAACGCTACTAAGCGCTGACATATAAGATGATTTGGGCTGGCGTTGTCCAGATATATTTCTCTAGTTTAACCTGTCATGAGACAAATACGGATACTATTTATGTATGGTTGGTGCTGTAAATACAGGATTTACAGCACCAACATTTTGTGCAGTGCTTTACAAAGTAAAGTGAGACAGTACACTTACAATATAATACAATTCAAGAGAATATGGAGGACCCTGCTTGTTAGAGCTTACAATCTAAAAGTTGCTTGACTGTCATGTTGACACTGGTCCCATGTCAGTGAGTAAAGAAGTATTGAAGCCAGAGGTCAAACATGACAGCAAGGCAACTACCTTTTTCAGAAGGAAGTCCACAATGGCAATTCCTTGTGGCAATATCTTTCTCATGACAGCTTTATGTTCCTATCCTGCTTGGGAAGATAAGATTGATGGGTGTAACTGTTCCTAGTCCTGCGTTAGAACCATATTTTACATTGTATCCGTGTACAAATGTTTGTGCTAATGTTTACATGTGAACAGAGTAATGGACCACACCATTCAGGACTAGTGATGGTCTCGGGCGTGTTCGCAGCTCCACGTGCCGAGCCTGCCAGGAAGCTGATAGCGTTGCAGCGCCAATCACAGGCACGGAGACATTTCCCAATCTCTGCCGCTGCGGACCGGGATAATGTCTCAGTACCTGTGATGGGCGCTGTCAGCTTCCTGGCGGGCTCGGCGCGTGGAGCTGCGATCTTGGTCAGTAGTAGAAACGGGCAGTAAATATAGTTGGAACTAGTTTTTACCTATTGGGAGTCCTATCAAGGAGTCCATGTTATATTAATGAATTATATATATATGTACACATGTATGGGCACCAATAGGAGGTAGCTTGATTTCAACTAATTTGCAAGCTAAATTCAAAATGCATAGGGCAGGACTGCGCTGGACAGTACGGGGTAAGGACAGTACACCTGTACCGGAGGAGGGTAAGGACTGTTTGCCAAAAGGTAAGTATAGCCGTGGGGTGGGGGGTTTTGGGAGAGACGGGTCCAGATTTGATCGGGTAATTCCATTTGCCCATATTACCTGGGAAAGTGAACTTGCCCTTTAATGCGTGTGGGAGAGTTCTGCTGCCTCGCTACCACAATATGGCACAGTGAAATGGCGGCAGCACTCAACGCACACACACAATGTCCTATGCGTGCGTTTATTTGCATGCAGATGGCGGGGGCAGCGGGGTTGGTTTTCATTTTTTTTTTTTTTACATATATATTTAATTATTTTTTACTTTTTCATTACTTTTTTTATTTTTTTACTTTTTTTTTCCCCCACCTAATTTTATTCCTATCACATAGGGATTTAAAATCCTCTATGTGATAGTTTGGAGGTGACAGGTTCTCTTTATGGAACCTGCCCTCAAACACAGAACAGATGTTGTGTAGTTCCTGACAGCTGAGACAGGTGGCAACGGTCTCAGTGATAACACAGAGCAGACAAAAAACGGACGAGAGCCTGCTCTGCGGGCTCTATGGTGAGCTCATGTTCCGTCGTCTCCAGTCTGCCAGAGGAGAGGGGGACCCCGAAAACCACGTGGGGGGGAGGGGGCGGTGTGGACAGAATCGCCGCTTCTCGTTTCATACAAGTGGTCAGATCACTTGAAAACGAGCGGCGGCTCTACACTGAACACCTAGCTCTGCTTGTCCGGAGCAGGGCTAAGTGTACAAAAAAACAACTCGCCCGGCGCCCAAAACTGCATGTCCTGGGTGTCGGGCGATAGGAATTCCACATCCCTGGTTTTGAGATCTCTCCACAGGTGCTCTATGGGATTCAGATCTGGACTCATTGCTGGCCAGTCCAGTACTCTCCAGTAGTGATGGGCTTGTTCGCAGCTCCACGTGCCGAGCCCGCCAGGAAGCTGACGGCGCCGCAGCGCCAATCACAGGTAGTGAGACATTATCCCGGTCCGCAGCTGCAGAGATCGGGAAATGTCTCCGTGCCTGTGATTGGCGCTGCGGCGCTGTCAGCTTCCTGGCGGGCTCTGCACGTGGAGCTGCGAACAAGCCCGAGCCCATCACTACTCTCCAGTGCTTTGTCTGAAACCATATTGGGTGCTTCTTGACGTGTGCTTTGGGTCATTGTCCTGCTGTAAGACCCATGACCTCTGACAGAGACCCAGTCCCATTAAGATCTCTGGAGATGGACTTGTAACCCTGACATTGTCCATGCTTTTCCACAAAAACGTGGAATGCAATTATTTCTTGCATTTTGGAGAAGGTGCCAGTCCATTTTTGGAGTTGTGTGTGGAATGTGTCAGGCTTGGCATTTTTTTTTCTCCACTTTTTTTTGTGTCATACCAATACAAACAAAAGCAATAAACATGAGAATGCCAAAACATTTGTAAGGGTAACAATTTTCTGCGCGAAGTGGTGCATTATCTGACAGAAATGCAGGGGTGCCAATATTCTGGGCCATGACTGTATTTAAAAATAATAAGACTTTAATTCTACTTTAAGAGTGGAGATTATTAAACGTCCATTTGTTGGTGTGTTTTTTTTAATAGCTGTGCTCATTAATGTCACAATAGTTTTCTAATAAAACTGTTAAGCATCACATACATAGGGGTATACTTATAAACAATTCACAGAGCCATTCACCCTGCAAATCTCTGTGAGCATTTATGGCAAAAAGAAACGTTATATGTATATTTTCTTTTCAGGTTGAATGTAATAGAATGCCGCAGTATGACCACTAGATGGAGTGGAATAAAGAAGTATTCATTTCCTATGATTATAAGCTCCATCTAGTGGATATAATGGGGCATTACATTACATTCAACCTGAAAAGAGAATCTTGTTTTTGCCTCTACTTGCGCAGAATGAACGTTTACAGTGATTCGCAGGGTAAATGGCTATTAATTGTTTACAAATAGACCCCATAGTATTGGCTAGGTGTGGGATTGTTTTTGGTTTTTTTCACAAGAAGTAGCTAAACTTTTAAAATCCTTTTGTTATTGATGGATTAGTGTTTTTTATCATATTACATTACTGTAGTGGCACCTCAGTAAAAAGCTGGTGTGAAGAGACCAAAGCTGCAGTGGATTTCAATGCCCCTGTTTGGCAGTGGAAGCAGAGTTAGCAATTTCAGTACAGGACAGGAGCCTGTATAATGTGTAAGCCTAAAATTAAGGCCGGAGTTCAGCTTTAAAAAAGTTAGGCACTCAATGTAATCTCTACAATGCAGATGCATTGTCAGCTTTCTCCTGGAATCTGCTGTGACTTGTGCTCCTGTTGTTTTTAGGTGACTAAATATGGCAGCGGTTATAAACACCGAGCTGGATCCAGTTTTCTTAAAAGCACTTGATTTCCTCCACTCGAAGAGCAAAGACTCCGCTGAGAGACTGAAGGCTTTATTGGACGAGTCTCTGTGCAAGGGCCTCGACTCTGGCTATCGGCCACCTCAAAAGGTAATGCGTGTAAGTTGACTTCTGGCTGCTTCCCAAGCCTAGTATTTTGGATGGAATACAAGGAGTTAAAGCAAGAGCTGAATTATCTTTTTGCTGTTATTTATATGGAGGAAGGCTTTGTTCTTCATGAACTTGCTCCATGAACTTCCTCACTAACATTGAGGGAGGTTTAAGCCCAACTCTAGTCAAAATGTGGTCTCCTTTTTTTTTTTGTTCTGAATAGAGTTAGAATTTCTGCCAGGTTTTAAATTCTGTCTTTGCCCCTGATGAGGTGATTTTTCTGTTGGATTTTAAATGATGTCTGTGCCCCCGGGGGGTATTCTTCTGTGCTTCTTGTTCTGCACAATACCTGCCAAAAGCCAAGAAGTGGGAAGAGTTTTCTTCACTTTTTGTTCTCTTTGGCAAAAAATTGACAGGTTCTAATCTTCCACACTGCGCCCAGAACTAAAAAGAATACTGTTGGATGGAATATAGGCTTTAAAGAAACGCTCTCTTTATTAACCCTTGCAGTTGGACTACCCCCACCGCACTGCAAGGGTTAAGTGCTCATTTTTGTCTAGGCTGCTTCTCCGGTCTCTGAAGCCTCTCTCCTCCTACGCTGCAGCATTGGAGCCTTCCTCAGCATCCTTACATCTATACATTGTGAACAGAACATGATGATTTACAGGACCTTAGACCACTGCAGAGGAGGGAGCGAGAGGCTGGTAGGACCGGTCTAAGAACAAGCCGACTCCTCGGTTCAGCTGAATATAACCTAGACAAGCAGTTAACCCTTGTAGTGCGGGGATAGTCCCTCTGCAAGGGTTAATACAAGTTCTGCCCGGGGTTCTTCCTTAAATATTTGTCTGTGTATAGAAAACAATGCTCTCAGGGTCACTGGGTAGATGCTTTCTGAGGAGACACAGTTGGCTTGTGTTAATGAAAGTAAATGAGCCCATGCGCCATTTGCACACTAATTAGTGACATATCAGGGACAAACGTAGTACACAGCATTTCAGAGAGAGTCTTTGTCCTATAGTAGGCTTCTGTTTGTTGCTGCTGGATCTCCATTTTAGTCTGTCATGTGCTTGCCTTCCAAATAAACGCCATGCTGCAATACCTGCCAGAACAAAGGCTCTCTAGCACTGATCTAGCACTTGATGTTGGCAGTGAGGGAGTTGTTCCTTTTTCCCATGATTAGTATTTGAAATTGACACTTACCCTTGCTGTCATTATGTGTCTGACACAAATCTAAGCATTTCTGTAATGGGGAACTGAGATATCACGGCAGGGAAACCCTTTTCTGAGACACATCTCCACTCGCCTACCTAAGCAGGTTTGGCCTTATCCTATACAAATGTAAAAAGATTACAAGTCAGCCATGACTAAGACTTATGTAGATGAAACTCATTAGTGTCTTGTTGCTGTGAAGTACAGGATTTTGGCTTTTATTTAATAAAGAGGAATTCTATATTTAGATTTCAGCACATGCATATCCTATACCAGGGGTAGGCAACCTCGCCACTCTAGCTGTTGTCGTCCTACAAGTCCCATGAGGCATTGCAAGACTGACCGCCACATGCATGACTTCCAGATGCATGATGGGATTTAGGGCTCAGGTTGCCTACACCTGTCCTATACAAACACACACACACCTAAAATTCTTGCTCTCTGTAGCATGTGATACATCTATGCATGGACGGCTTTTCAAAACCCAACCTTATCCTTCCACGTGTTAGTTTGTTAGTGGGGTTTTACATTGAGATGAAAGGGCACATTGAGCTTGGTAGTTCATGCTTCTCGAAAACAAAGGTGGTAACTTTTTTATTTTTCCTGCTGGTCACGGCTTGTGAAATCATTTGACTGGCTTAGCTTTAGAACTACTTACTACAAGATGCAGGAGGTTATATGTGGCAGATCTGGATTGTGGCAACCTAGAATAAATCCAAAGCTAAAGATACCAGTGCCACTGGATCCTTGGTTTTCAATTCATCTGTCCCAATAACATCACTTCTTTTCTTTGTTTTCATATACTGTATATATTGCATGATGGGAGTTCTGGCAGTTTTATACTTAGGAACAGGAGTGCATAAGTTTGATTTCCTCGTTAGACTAGTAAAAATGATAAATTAAAACTAATAAAAACTGCATTTCTCTGTTGTTTATCAGATCATGTACTGAAAGTATGGTCTCCCCTCATATCTGGTACACATAACCCAGAGTTTGTGTGCTTTGGTTTAAATCAGGGCTGGACAGATCCCAGGATCCAGGTAGCTAATGCTCCTTAAAAATGACAGTTGACACGTGACTTTGGCTCAACTAGTGGCTCCTGGATTGTACAGATTGGCTCCTGAATTCTCTTCTAGTTTGTCCAACCTTGTTTTAAACTGTAAATATGTTTTTAGGTAAAGTTGGAGATATCCCAAACAGAGGAACATTGAATGAAACATTTTAGCTACATTAAAAAATAAGTCTTTTATTGTTGCTGCACAGATGTAACATACTACACACACTTTTAAAAAACACTTAAAACCTATCCCAACATGGTTATATTGAAGAGAACTTGTATTAACCCTTTAGAAATGTTATTAACCCTTGCAGTGGGGCTACCCCTGCACCTCAAGGGTTAACTGCTCGTTCTTGCCTAGGAGACGGGAAAAAAAGTTATACGCACCCAAACTTTGGAGCCAGCAGCACTCCCTTCAGCCTCTCTCCTTCTCCACTGCGGCGATAGTATGTTCCTCGGGAATCCTCACGTCCTGTGCACTGTATTGGACGTGATGACTCGAGCTTCCCTAGACCACCGCAGAGGAGGGGAAGACATGATGTAGCAACGGCCGGCTCAGAGGTTTAGGTGAGTATAACAAACTGGGTTTTTTTTGGTTTTTTTTACCCTAGACAAAAACGAACAGTTAACCCTTGCAGTGCATGGATAGCCCCACTGTAAGGGTTTATAAAATTTCTGCCCGTAATTCTTTAATAATCAAAAGTGTCTTCTAATGTAATCTTATCTTTCCAATATACTGTTAACTCATTCCTGGTGGTCCAAATCATTATCCTTAAAGGATAATTAAAGCCTCCGTTGTTTTTTTGCACAGATCTACCGCTAGCAAGCAGTAGATCTATGCAAAAAGTGTAAAAAACAAAAGACCGCTTTAACGGAGGTTAATACTCACCTGTGTCTTCCCTGCGCGCTCCCGTCCGCAAATGTGAAGGTCCTCCGGGAGTCACAAAGCATCTTGGGGCGGACGCACCTGTGGAGATTTTTAGTAATGACAATCTACTTTGGATTCTTTGCAAGCCTTATTTTTCTTTTCTTCCCCAGTCTTCTGACAGTGGCAATGTTAACTAAGGGCAGATTACTAGCTCTCCTTTTACTTCCTGGAACTCTGGCACATGTGACTAGGACATGTGACCACGCACATCCTCTCGGGGGAGGAAATGCCTTTCCCTGAGATCTCATGAGATTTCCCAGCAATGCACTATAGATGTAATCTTCCCAGGATGCAACATTTAGGCACGATTACATAATTTGTGCTAAAATGGACAGTAGATAAACTCTATTTGTAAGTAAATGAAAAATATGTTTGTATAACTAATGAATGTAAGATGATTTTATATCCGCATGCAGAGCTGTATGCTGATGTGATCTTTAGTAAAGGGGGTAAAGGTCCACTTTAACTGGCTTGGGCTCAGTTCACCTGAGTTCCCCCAAGCCGGTTCGAAACTTTGACCACCACCCCTCGATCTTGGCCCCATTCAGTTGCAGAGAGGTATATTTCCCACCCTGCAGCTATATGTCACAGAGGGGCTGCCAATGATTGGGTTAGGAGGTGGGGATGGCAGTCAGTTTCAAGCGGGCTTGGGCAAACTCAAGTAAACTGAGTTCACGCCAAGCCTCATCTCTAACATTAAAGGAGAACTATGGGGTCAGTGTTTTTCCCCATAGTTCTCCTTAGGGTAACGGGAGGACACCAACTAGCGTCCTCCCGTTACCCTAAGCTCAGTATACCGCGAGCTACAGCTCGCGGTATACTGAGACGCCGCACCTGGAGCGGATCCCGACTTAAATGACGGGATCCGCCCAGCTGCGTGAGTGACAGCTGGCTCTGCCTATCTAGAGGCAGAGCCAGCTGTACCCGCCCCCTCCCCCGTCCGTTCCGCCAGTCAGCGCTGGCAGATCGGAGCGGGGAGAGGGGAATCCAGCCCCTCCCCCTGTCACGGCAGAGAGCCGTGACAGGATCGAGAGGTGAGGGAACCCGGTATGTGTTCGCTCACCTCCCGATCTACTGAGCCGACCTGTGACAGTCTCATTGTCACAGGTCAGCTTAGAATTATGAGGTGAGTGGAAATCACTCATGTCATAGTTCTCCTTTTAACAACTGAAAAGGCTGAATGAAGTTATTTCAGCAATTGCTAAAAACCATTTTGACCGTAAATAAAGATCTTCCTACAGAAACTTTAACATCTAGAATTCTTATTGGTATGTTTTGTAAGAGGCAGTTAGAAAAGCCTCTAAGGAGTTTTTGATATAAACCCAAAACCATCAATATAGTTGAATTGCTGCAGGACTTTGGAACCCTGATGCCTTCTGTTGTTACCTTGCTTGGTAATAGAAAATGTAAAATGGTTGAACTGCATGATTGTCTTTTCGGCTATGATCTCGGTTCAATATTTCAGGTTATTGTTTTCTTTCTTTCACTTTGTTATGTTGCTGTTATGCTGAACATATCACGTCTGTTTGTTCTCGCTCACTTCCTGTGTGGGGAATTCAGCTTTTATTGTCTTCATTTCTTCTTTACCAAAATCAATAAAAATATTTGGAAAAAAATGGATAACTAGCATGCAAATATATAGATATCTCCTGGGGTTCTTGTGTTTAAAAAAGGTGTAGTCACTTAATTTCGTCTTACACAGCTCATGTATAGAAATATATGTGCCTAAAAATGTAACTGCAAGCTTATTTTAAAGAAGAACATCACTTTATATATTTAGGTCCCCCTCAGTGTAAGGCGGCAAACTGCTGTAATGATTTATCATAAAAGTTCTTAGTGCGTGCCATAGCCTGGTATAGAGAGCAGACTACATCTCCCATAAGGCAATGTGAAATAAAGGAAGTGGAAGGCATGTATAGGCAGAACTGAGGGTGGAGATGGGAAGAGTTACAAAGGACTATATGCTCCAGTGACTTTTTTTTTTTTTTTTTTTATACAGAGTGCAGAGATGCATTAAGGTGCTTCTGCATGACAAATTCCCCTGCTTTGAAGTCATTCTACCTCCTCCAAACAGTCCAGCAGGGCATCTGGCTGTGTGGAATAGTGATGTCCAGTTCATTTTGAATTGATTCTTTTCAGTGAACTGGATAAAATGTTTCATCTGACTGAACTGATAACTGATTCATTTGAAAGTGTTCAGTGTCCAATCAATAGGACAGCAGCACTAATATGATCTTATAATCCTATCTGATCCTGGTAATGTGAGTGAGAGAGGTTGGCTTCTGCCATCCCTGCAACCAATCACCCAGTTAACAGTACTATGAGAATCAGAACTTACAACAGTTCAGTCTCCAGTAGAACACAGTACACTGAATCACAGAATCATATGAGTCTCCAGTAGAACACAGTACACTGAATCACAGAATCACATGAGTCTCCAGTAGAACACAGTACAGTGAATCACAGAATCATTTGAGTCTGCAGTAGAATACAGTACACGGAATCACAGAATTATGCGTCTCCAGTAGAACACAGTACACTGAATCGCAGAATCATACGAGTCTCCAATAGAACACAGTACACTGAATCAATCGTCAGGTTACAGCAATGGTAAGGGACAGACAGCCTTGCAGGGAGATAAGAGAGATGACACACACAGTCTGGATGAGAGGAGATCCTCATTTAGATTGATACTTTAACCCTTTAGATTGATTCAGCACCCGAGCTTCAGCTCACTTGCTTGTCAGCAGACTCAGCAAGTGAACCAATGAATTGATTTCATGAATGGGTTAATTTGAATGAACAGTTCAAATTGAACCGATTCGTGTAAAAGATCCAAACTTCCCATCACTGATGTGGAACAGCACCATGTTTTACATAGAGTTCCAGTACCGCCCAGTCTCAGGGAAGGAGGTGTGATAGAGGAGGGAGCTCTGCGCTCAGAGTGGGCGTGGTCAGACCAGTAGTCTAAGGATTCCCTACTCCACCCACTGCAGTGTGTGCTGGGATATGATCACTTCCCTGCTGGCTGCAATAGAACTACAGGGGGAGGTTATTAGACAACTGGCTAGGCCGATAGACTGCGCAGTGGCCAGTGGTCTAACAGTAAGGAAATGAAGGAGGGAGAGGGCAGGAAGCACGGGCTCGTGTCATGGATTTCTGGAAGACGACATTGCTATGCAGAGAGGTAAGCACATATTTTTAATGCATCTATAAGCTAGTTACAGTAGGCTGAAAAAATGTTTTCCCAGGAGTTCTTTAATTATTGAATCTGTTGTAGCCTAGGAAGTTTTCAGCCATATTTAACTATTTTTCTTTCTGGTATGTTTAAGGACCATGATCCAGTTAAAATCACTCTACCTAAGCCGAAATCAGATGTCAAGGTGAGCACCAGTACTCATAGTAGCAACATCCAAAGCAAGCCACTGCCGCCAGAGAAAATTAAGAAGGAAGCCGAGAAGAGATCATCTGATAAGGTAACAAATGTTTATTTTTTTGGCCTTAGGTCCTATGGGGGGCGTGCAATTTAACACGATTGGGTCAGTAGTGCTTATGAAAACTAATAATATGTTTGTGGTTTATATTTATATTTTTCATTCTATGTTGATGGATGGTGAACACTAATGAATTGCCTTTTATGTTTGCGAAGTCTGAAGCAGAAAAATATGGGATGTTTAACACCGTGCACACTACATGAGAACTCTAATTTCCTTTTAGATTTTGCTGAATGTGCTCCGTAACACGGCTTTCACCCAGAATTTACATATTTTTCGAGTTGATCCAATCAGAAAAATGTGGATCTTGGATGAAAACATTGAGACCCCATGGTGTTTGTGGTGTATTTGTGGAGTTAATGCCATTGTCATCTGAGTTTTTTTTTTGTATGTATTCGTGGGGGTAGATGAAGCCGGATATTGGAGATGCTGTGGATTTACCAAAGAAACCTCGTTTGGAGAAACCAGAAGCTCGTTCCTCTCCAAATTTGGTGCAGTCCAGCAAGGATCTGCCTATTCCTGACCTGTCTAATTTTGATGAAACTAGTGCTGATGACTTTGCCATGGAGATGGGTCTTGCCTGTGTGGTCTGTCGGTAAGTTAAGTTTAAGCATATACATCAGTAGCTATAAACACTATTATTTTAGGTTTCTATGAACAAAGGTTAACTAACACAATAAGAAAAAACTGGAAAAGCGCACTACCTAGAGTAACCACTACTAGAGATATGGGCACCAAAGGGTTAAAAGACAGTGTGCAAGCTCTATGGGCAACAGGGTGAGGAGCCCTGTATGGAGCAACAATAAGCAGATATATTGAGAGCGCTACTACTGTTTAAAAATTCACTCACGTTTTTAGATGTCACTATGTCTTCAGGGAGAAATCATCTGTAATCGCTGTGCAAAATGTAGTGTTGGCCAGGATACAGGGTGAGATGAAAGTGGGGTGAGTAGGTAAATACCTAGATGGACCAAGTTTGACAATAAGAGTCGGGTGTAGGGAACTGTGCGGACTTAGCTGGCCAGGCTGAGCCGCAACGGCAGTGTGAGGTGTACGCTGAATAGATGTCAGCGGATCGGATTACTATAGAGACCGCAAGATCGTGCTGAGATGCTGCGGTGGTGTGAAGTCAAGAGGTGCTGGGAGCCGTCTCTATAGGTACCTTGTTAAAGGTAGTGATGAATCTCATTTTGTCAGCTTCGCCAGTCGCTGAGTCTTGTTTAAGGTTTGGGTGGCAGTCGGGTTTGGAGTAGTTGGAGAATGCCTCAACAATGAGATCCTCCGGGTATCTCCTTCTCTCTCAATTTGTCAAGCAGGAGTTGGCTTGATGTGGGTATAGTCTTTGTTTTGGGTGCAATTTCTCCTTAGCCTACAAAATTGGCTCTTGGGAATATTTTTCTTCCATCTGGGGTGGTGACAACTCCTATAATGGAGGTAGGAGTTCATGCCTGTAGGTTTCACATGGTTGCTGGTAATGGATCTAGAAACACTAGTTTTTTGTTGTTAGCTACGTAGGTGAATGACAGCCCGAACTGGTTATTATTACAGTGATCGAGAAACTCAGGTACACTGTCGGTGGGAGCATCCCAGATGATCAGGATGTCATCTATGTACCTTCCATAAAATACTAGCCGCTCGGCATATGGGTTGTTGTTCCAGATATGGAGGTCTTCCCAGTGGCCCACCGTCAGATTGGCGTAGCTTGGGGCACAGTTTGCGCCCATAGCTGTCCCTTGGGTTTGTAAGTAGAATTTCCCCAGAAAGGAGAAGTAGTTATGACTTAAGGTGAATTCCGTGCAGTTTGTGATAAACTGCGCTTGGCTGGAATTAATGGACGATTTGGAAAGGAAGTGTTGCAAGGCGTTAAGACCAACTGGATGAGGGATGGATGTGTACAGGGATGTGACATCTAATGAGATCCAATTGTAAGCAGGGTCCCATTGGTAGGATGACAGAACTTCAATCAGGTGACCAGAGTCTTTGATATAGGAGGGAAGTGTTTGTACGATGGGTTGAAGGAAATGATCAATGTAAATTGAAAGTCCGCTAGTCAAGCTGTTTGTGCTTGCAATAATGGGGCGTCCTGGAGGATTAATAGGATCCTTGTGTACTTTAGGAAGATGATAAAAATAGGGTGTAGTGGGATATTTCGGGTTGAGAAATGATCTCTCTTTTTTATTAATGATGCCCCTATCGGAGGCTGTGATGATTAGATGATCGAGTTCTTTGGAGAAAACTGATAGTGGGTCTGAGGTTATGGGTTTGTAAGTGGTGGTGTCTGGAAGTAATCTACGTGCTTCGGTGATGTAGATCGACCGGTCCTGAATGACTATACCCACTCCCTTATCAGCTTGTTTAATAACCATGTTCTTGTTAGAAGTCAGGTCTTTTAGCACCTTGTTTTTTTGGAAGGTCAGGTTTCGGTGGTGTTTGGCCTTCTTACATATTTCCTGTAGATCCGTATAGACCACATGGTAGAATGTGTTGATTTAAGGAGCATTTCGAGTTGATCGGGTAGAACGTAGATTTAGGTCTAAGTGTGGTGTGGGTGATAGTGGGGTTTATAAACGACTCAAAATCCGGAGCCAGTGTTGGATCAAGGTCAGCCAGTTCATATAAGATGTTGAGGACATCACCGTCTTGTTCATCGAACATGTCTAACAAGACCTCATGGTCGGGAGCCATGGGCTGGTTGGTGGTACCAGAGGGGATGGTGGGTTTCGTGGTACTGTAGTATCTCCTAAGCGTAATGAGTCTGGTGAATCTGTTGAGGTCTTTAAAAAGAGTAAAGCAGTCTGGGGCGTCATCTGGGGCGAAATTTAAGCCTTTTCTTAGTAGGGATATCTCACTCTTGTTTAGCTGATGTTCTGAGAGATTTAAGATTTTGATGGTGGTTGCCTGTTCTGGGGGTCTATTTCTTTTTTTGGGAATGTGGCGGTGTTTTCCTCCTCTATTTCCCCTTCTTGTGTTTTTATTTTTGGGAGATGTGTCAGGCCCAGGTCCAAAAAAATAATCAGTGTGTTGTTAATATTGGCAATCTCACCTGGAGGAATGTGAGATGCTCCTGGTTGTTCAGATGAGACTGGGAAGGCCTCAGTATTTTGGGCTAAGGATGGTGGTGTATAAGCAAGTACATTTGGCTCAGTATTGAGAACTGAGGAAGGTGGTGTGCTGTCCAGTACCCTGATGGGAACTGCGATAGGGCAGGGAGTGGGGGTGGTTGTGAAACTAGGACCCAAAACTAGGACCCAACTTACCACTCAACCCGTCCATTAACTTCAGAAAATCAAAAACATAGTAGGCCCAAGCCTTCATTCCAAGGCCCAGAGGTCTGCCCAAAGCACTTCCTCCTTGATAGCAGAACAGGGACATTTCGGTGTAAAAAACCCAGATGTCTCACCTGCCAGTTCATCCAACATGGACAAACAACATTCCATGATCACCTTCGCAATCCTCATATCACAAAACAGTTCATAACCTGTTCCCATGATCATGTGGTCTATGGCCTTAGGTGTCACTGTGACCTCACCTATGTCGGCCGCACCATAAGACCTTTGTGTGCCAGAATTGGGGACCACAGATGCCTTATAGAGAAGGGAGGCACCATTTTACTCTAAAACACGAGAAAAGAATACAGTATCTACACGTGTTCGCAATCGAACACATTCCCACCCACCTATCCTCCTTAGAGCGTTTCCATCTTCTCTGTAAAAGAGAGACCTACTGGATCTATAAATTAAACACCCTCGTTCCAACGGGCTTGAATGAGGAAAATGAGATCCACACCATCCTCTAACTATAAGATCCAAACGCACTCTGGTCATATAGTCAGTTTCAGAGTTGGTGTAACTGATTAGAGCAAATATGATATATGTTTTAACTTCCGAGATAATATCGCGGTTTTTAATTTTGTTCAACACATTTTAATAAAAACCAACACTTTTATGTATTTTAGTGAATAACATCTTTATCTAGCCCCCTGCCATCACCTTTATGTTGTGTACACATATATATATATAGATGCATGCATGTAATGCATGTAATGCATGTAATGAGAGTATCCTTTATGCATGTAATGAGAGTATCTCATATATTAGTTTCACCGCATAAGTTGCATTAGTGAAATAAATGAACTTTGCACGATATTCTAATCGAGTTTCATATATATCTATGGGAGCTTATCTAGTAAAAAGGTTATATATATATATATAGCACTGACATATACCGGAGTGCTGTACAGAAAACACTGAGCCAGTCACATCAGTCTCTGTACAGAGGAGCTTACACTTCAATACAGAATGGCACCAACTCTAGGGGGACTACAAATCCCCGCAATACATTATACAGCAATGCAGAATAGTATATGAATCGGACTCCGCAACACACTGGACCCTGCACTTGGCAACTCACTGGACCCTAATATTTTATTTAACAATGAAGTAGAGAAGTAGGTTATAATAGGGAACTTTACAGTGTAATGTTCCTTTATTATAATCCATTTCTCTAATTAATTTAAATCACATCACACTGTTTGCAGTTCCTGGGCTTAACCCCCGCCCTCAACGGCTCAGTGACTTACTTTATCCAATGCAGTGCTGTCAGAGCCTGACACCATCCTGGCCACACTGTCTGAAGGCAGTGGAGCATGTGACACAGTGCCAGCATCAGGAGAGAGGTGTCATGTATATCGCCTGCATTGTATTCGGGGCATATACAGTGTAGGCGATATATGAGCCCCCAAGGCACCCCTTCCCCCTAGGCTACTGGAAGTGAGACTGACAGCCCCGGAGCCTCTGCAGCGCCATCTCAGCCTGCAGGGCATTTAAAGAGATCCTGACCCCCTGCCCAGTCCGCTCCTGTCAGTGGGCCCCCCTAGCATTGGGCCCTGAGGTGGCTGCACCGCCGGTAGGTCCACCCCTGTATAAATGTCGTAGTGGTGTGCCCCCTCCAACAGCAACTGAACATCACATTTGTACTGTGGTGACTAGGGCAGAATGTGCCAGCTCACTGTATTGTGGTACGACTGCTTATAATCCTAACCGGAAACGCACAGTAAAGGGTGACAACACTGCAGCTAAACTGATTAAGAGTTGTCACCCACGGACATAAAGTGTCTGTGGATACCCTTTGCTGGTATGATTTCATTGAAAGCAGGACAGACATATATAAATAATAGATGAAACTGTTTGATATCACGGAAACATGTGCAACAACATATTTGATTCAGGTGTTTCGTTGTAGATACACTTTAACTTTATTTTGTATATCTTGGCCAAAGCTTTCTGTGACTTCAGATCTTTATTTTCCATTCCAGACAAATGACGGTGTTTTCTGGTAACCAGCTGGTCGAATGCCAGGAGTGCCATAATCTGTATCATCAGGATTGCCACAAACCTCAAGTCACAGATAAGGATGTGAATGACCCTCGCCTGGTATGGTACTGCGCCCGCTGTACTAGGCAGATGAAGAGAATGGTGAGGATCCCTGATTTTCAGGTGTCTTCCTTTATGAAGACCACAATTTCTATTGTATCTAGAACTTACTTTTATACATGTAACAGAGCAAGGCATATGGCTTATGCACGTCCTCATGGATTGCTGTGGGTAATAGTGGATACCAAGGAATCATGCTAGAAGTTACATTGCTGTAGGCTGAGTAAAGCTATACGAGTCATGGACCTGAAAGGATACGTATGCTTTACAAAAAAGTATGCTTTAAAAAAAGTGCACCTATCCTTTTTTGCTCCCTTCCCTGACTGAAACAAATGCATCCTCCCCAGATGAATACTGGGTGAGGGCATCTGCTGTTTAATTACATCCAGACCCACACACCTTCTGTACAATGGCTGTGCCTGCACAGTAACTGCCAATATACATCGATAGAAATGCCTCCTTAGTATCTCCAGCCTCAGAAGATGAACTCTGTGGTAAGCTACTGTGCAGGCGCAGCCAGCATATAGAAAATGTTTGGTTTAGGATGTAAACAAATCCTGGAGGCCACGGCTGCAGGATCAAGGTAATTATGCATATGGGGAGGGAAGGGGTTAGATCATTTAGGTCAGGGGTAGCCAAACTCAGGCCCTCCAACTGTGGTGGAACTACAAATTCCATGAGGCATTGCAGGATTCTCACAGCCACGACTCTCGGAGAGAGATGCATCATTGGATTTGTAGTTTCACCACAGCTGGAGGGCCGTAGTTTGGCTACCCCTGAATTAGGTTAGGGAAGGTAGGCAAAAAGCATAAGTGTACTTTGTGTTAAAGTGACTTTATCCTTTAAAGCCATGAAATCCCTGAGCAGTTTGCTGTGGACAGTTGCCTTGTTTTTCATTTGCTCTATTTTCATGATACAGCTCTAATATATCTACAGTTTGTATAACTGGATTTAGTACCAGCTCTAAAAAAAATAATGTATTTGGTGCTGATCTATAAAAGCTTATCAGCGTGTAGCTGTCTGAACGCCTTTAGCATAGCATTACTGCCGCTAGATGATGCCGAGGAGCATAGGAATTTTCTGTGCTCCTCGGCTCCATGTAGCAGCAGTAATGCCGTGCATACCGCTTTCATAAATCAGCCCCTAAGTGTTACTGTTTTCCAGATAAGAAAATACAAGATCATTTAATTTAGCAGTAATTGTAAACATCCGCTTGCCAATATTTTACCCTTCCATGTCAGAGAATTAGCTTAAATACACACCGTTTAGAGATCTTTGGGTAAATTGTTTTATACACTAATTCCTTCTCTTACCATCTACAGGCACTAAAAAATCAGAAGCCACCCCAGAAACCTGCCTCTTCCACAGCATCGGCAGCAATGCCAGTTGTAAAGGACACATCCACCATCAAACCTGAGCTGAAGCCCAAGCCAGATTCTGCAACTTCCTTCCTAGCTTTTAAGAGATCAGAAGTAAAGGTATTACCCTACTTGGCATCTACTGTCCACCTCTTCTTGACAGATATAAATGATACAAGAGGCAAAATAGAACCATTTAAAGAGTTTATGTCACTTGTACAGTAAATATCCATTTGGGTTGGGGTTGAAGCTTGAACTATATGTTGACACAGAGACACACATACACAAAGTCTTTATTTTTTGAAAAGGCCAACAATCCCTGCATTTCACATAATCTGCTTTTCTTCAGCATAAAGAAACATGACAGTTCACTTGACTCATCAAAAAACAACATATTTGTGTCTCGCCGACATCAGGTTGTCCCATACACTCCCAGTGTCTTAGTTTCAGGACTTTACCATATTTCTCCACAAAGACATTCCATAGTATTGTTTAGTAGCTTTCCTCAGCTCCATGCGTCTAACCACACACTTGTGTGAGTCTAGCAACTGCATACCCCTTGTGAGTCACTGACTCTCTCTGTCTGTCCAACGGGTCCTTTGGGTGCCACTGGCCCTCTCGACCTCTTCCAGCCTTCCCAGCTGTTCCACATGTGCTTGCTGCATGCACCTAAGTCTGCATGTGGCTGTGTGCCTCCTGCACACCCACTATGCTGAGCTATAGTCCACGCTCCTAGTAAGGCTGTTCTCAGCCACCTAGACTAGTCATTGGCAACACCTGACCTCGGGACTGGAGATTTCATCCCACCCAGAACTCTTAGAAATCTCCAGAGCTCCATTTCCCAGCTACAATCCGGAAAATCTGGAAGAAACTTCCTTGCAAAACTATTCACGTTCTGGAACCTCTCAGTCCCTCTGGCTGAGAGTTCTAGGTGACTATGTTGCCAGATTACACTGTGGCATTGTCATGCACCACACACACACACACACACTGTGGAAACTAATTATTTGATCCCCTGCAGATTTTGTTAGTTTGCCCACTTACTAAGAAATGAAAGGTCTATAATATTTATCATAGGTGTATTTTGATTGATAGAGACATAATATCAACCAAAAATCCAGAAAAAACACATGATACAAATGTTATAAATTGAGTTGCAGTTCAGTGAGTAACCAACCTAAGTAGTAAGGAGGAGCAGAGCTGCAAATTTCTTCTTTTATTGTATGTTTTGTGTTCCTACTTAAGCATTAGTTAGAATTTACTTTTTATCTAATTATAGTTTGAATATTAAACAGCAACCCCAGGAATCCAAATAATTATTACACCATTTCTCCTCCCCTTCCACGGCCAGCGTTAAAAACTGGCCCAGCTGCATCAGCATGCTTCCTTACTTCGGCTGCGGGTGGTGCGCACTTCAGCCCCTCAGGGACTAACATGTCCAACTAGGTGTTTCAGCATTACTAGCTGGTGGAGGTAGGTGGATCTTCTTATGTGAGTGGACATAGCAAGGGCAGGAGTAATGCTACTTGCTTCCCTCGCACACAGGCAGCTATTAATGGTGGCATGATGATGGGGGGGG